TTCGAATGTGTAAGAATGCGAGATAGAGAGCTCAGTCCAATGTTCGCGTATATAAGAGGCGGCTTTTGTGTGTGCGTGCGTGTGTGTGCGTGCGTGCAGCACAGAAAACAGCGCACGAGTGCAGAAGTGAGTTCTATTTCGTCGTCTTAGTTGAATCTTTTGAAATCACAATAAAAGCGCATGCAGAAATCGAGAAACAGAATCGAAATTTAATTTTATAACAAGTAATTTGATTCCTGACCTTATGCATCTGATCTGATTTCCGAAATCGGAATAGCTTTTCGATGCCCAACCCTAGGGCTGTGACGGTGGCAGATGTTTACCACCGCGGTGGTAATGGACCAACTACCGCCGGTGGCGCGGTGTTGATATAAATAAATAAATATATATATATATATTAGTGGTGTCAAAATTAGCGCGTTAACGGAGGTGATTATTTTTTCAGTTTAACGCGTTAAAAATATTTAATGCAATTAACGCAGGGGCGGGGCTAGGGTTGGCCACCCCACTCACAACTGCTGCTTCTGTCACTTATTCAGTCACAGAACGAATGAGAACGGGAGACGTTTCAGACGCGTGCTCCTCTTCACTTTGGTGCCAGGCGTGGAAACGGTACTGTGCTCGAAGCGCGTGCTCTTCAATTGCACACACAAAGGCGCCGGCGCGCTGTAGCCTGTATCCTTTCATATCAAAGCGCGAAATAAAATACGTGCACGCAATGCCGTGGTCAGTTAAGTCATGAAGTTACCAAAAAGGCTATTAAAGCTGCCTTAAAACTGTGCATGCGTGTCATATATCTTATATGAGTCACATTTAAGAACATGTCTTTGAAATAGTTTTCAAAACTGTCCTGGAGCAGCCCAGCACTGTCTCACTCATCTAACACACCCGATTTAACTCGTCAGCTCGTGTTTATTTTAGCACTTCAGTCAGTGAATACGCAGCCTGCAAGAAATAATACAGTTAAACAAGAAAGTAGCCCAAAATAAGAAAGTTAATACACCCCCTGTCTACAGGACGCGAGCTGCGCGACAAAATACTATAAAACATTATAATCAGTGACATGACAAATCCCCGCCTGGAGCAGCCCAGCACTGTCTCACTCATCTAACACACCCGATTTAACTCGTCAGCTCGTGTTTATTTTAGCACTTCAGTCAGTGAATACGCAGCCTGCAAGAAATAATACAGTTAAACAAGAAAGTAGCCCAAAATAAGAAAGTTAATACACCCCCTGTCTACAGGACGCGAGCTGCGCGGCGCGACAAAATACTATAAAACTCATTATAATCAGTGACATGACAAATCCCCGACAGTAAACTGCCTAGATATAATTCTGTGTATTTGTCCATTCGAATGTGTAAGAATGCGAGATAGAGAGCTCAGTCCAATGTTCGCGTATATAAGAGGCGGCTTTTGTGTGTGCGTGCGTGTGTGTGCGTGCGTGCAGCACAGAAAACAGCGCACGAGTGCAGAAGTGAGTTCTATTTCGTCGTCTTAGTTGAATCTTTTGAAATCACAATAAAAGCGCATGCAGAAATCGAGAAGCAGAATCGAAATTTTGTTCTATTTCGTCGTCTTAGTTGAATCTTTTGAAATCACAATAAAAGCGCATGCAGAAATCGAGAAACAGAATCGAAATTTAATTTTATAACAAGTAATTTGATTCCTGACCTTATGCATCTGATCTGATTTCCGAAATCGGAATAGCTTTTCGATGCCCAACCCTAGGGCTGTGACGGTGGCAGATGTTTACCACCGCGGTGGTAATGGACCAACTACCGCCGGTGGCGCGGTGTTGATATAAATAAATAAATATATATATATATATTAGTGGTGTCAAAATTAGCGCGTTAACGGAGGTGATTATTTTTTCAGTTTAACGCGTTAAAAATATTTAATGCAATTAACGCAGGGGCGGGGCTAGGGTTGGCCACCCCACTCACAACTGCTGCTTCTGTCACTTATTCAGTCACAGAACGAATGAGAACGGGAGACGTTTCAGACGCGTGCTCCTCTTCACTTTGGTGCCAGGCGTGGAAACGGTACTGTGCTCGAAGCGCGTGCTCTTCAATTGCACACACAAAGGCGCCGGCGCGCTGTAGCCTGTATCCTTTCATATCAAAGCGCGAAATAAAATACGTGCACGCAATGCCGTGGTCAGTTAAGTCATGAAGTTACCAAAAAGGCTATTAAAGCTGCCTTAAAACTGTGCATGCGTGTCATATATCTTATATGAGTCACATTTAAGAACATGTCTTTGAAATAGTTTTCAAAACTGTCCTGGAGCAGCCCAGCACTGTCTCACTCATCTAACACACCCGATTTAACTCGTCAGCTCGTGTTTATTTTAGCACTTCAGTCAGTGAATACGCAGCCTGCAAGAAATAATACAGTTAAACAAGAAAGTAGCCCAAAATAAGAAAGTTAATACACCCCCTGTCTACAGGACGCGAGCTGCGCGACAAAATACTATAAAACATTATAATCAGTGACATGACAAATCCCCGACAGTAAACTGCCTCGTTCTATTTATGAGGTACTGACACAGAGTTCAAATGTCCTGTGTAGACACTAAACAGACTCAACCTGTTGCGACGCGGTGGTGTCGCGTCCGGTGTAGACACTACTGTTAATATTGTTATTACACTTGTATACAAAACGTCGTATTATGCTTGTTATAGAGTGCGTGACGTCACGTGCACTACCGCCGGGTGTCAGTAGACAAGGCAGTGGCAGTGACGCGGTTGTCACGGCGACAGTCACAGCCTACCCAACCCTCCTACTAAATTATTTCATTCTTGCATGCAAAAAGACCTGTATGGTGACTATGGGGCTATGTAAAATATTTTTGACAACTTACTAGGTTTATCATTTGTCATTTTTTTCGATATTGTGGCAGTGACGCGGTTGTCACGGCGACAGTCACAGCCTACCCAACCCTCCTACTAAATTATTTCATTCTTGCATGCAAAAAGACCTGTATGGTGACTATGGGGCTATGTGAAATATTTTTGACAACTTACTAGGTTTATCATTTGTCATTTTTTTCGATATTGTCGATAATCATCTGTTACCTGACTATTGACATCGCGATACTTACGAGACATCGTCGATATATGATAATATCGTCATATAGCCCAGCCTAGTGTGTGCCGAAGAGAATACATATAAACGAAAGTCTCAACAGCAGTCAGCTGGTGCTCTTGAAAAACACTATAGAAACACATATGCATGAACCCTCCATTAGCAGTCACTGAAGAAAATCACCCAAGACCTACCCGCACCACAATGGGAGACAAAACCATAACAGTTGGGGACTGACATGAGCTAATTCTTAATGAAAGTATCTCAATCTCCAAGAGAAAAAAAATGCACCTGCTAATGCAAGCTCTAAAGAATAGAATAATGGAAGTAATATCTGTAAAACGATCAGAGGCTCTTTCCTGAGGGAAGCGCGGGGACAGTCATTCAGCGTGGTGGGGATACGTTACCCATAATGCCATTTCAGCTATGATGAAGGGCACAAGAGCAGGCAGCACGAATGAAATGGGGAACGGGAGAGAAAAAGACAGACAGGGAGAAAAAAGTCAAACTACAAAGGGTAGTTTCCTATAAAAAGTTTAAAAAAGCTGCAGAGACAGAACCAATAAGTGTAGGAGAAAGTGGACATGATAGAAAAACCTTTAAATTCTCTTGGAACACAAAAGGAGATGTTTTGAAGAACATCCGAGCTGTTCATTTCCATACATTGAAACTAACTTGTGATCATGAGCTATCAAGCACCATGTTTAACTACTAATATATGCAAGCGTGATGAGATTTTAAGTGAATAATGACTAATTGCTCTTTTTCTGTCACAAAGCTTATAAATTTCCTCTAAAGTAACTTGCATGGACCATTTTTATGGTGTCTTTTGTCATGTACAAAGCTGAATTTTCATTGTATAGAAAAGAGCAGAGCAAATATTCTGCTAAATTCACCATATGCATTTGTAGCACACAATGGTGAGTAAAATACAGAATTTACATTATTTTGGTCAAAATTAGCTAACAGTTCACCATAAAGTCAAACATGAATCAAAATTTACCTAGGTCTTAATAAATATCTCTGGTCTTACGGAGCATAATTCTTCAAAGCACATTACTCTTAAATTTTAATTTTTTCATAATAGCTAATATAAAAATGTAATAACATTCCCGGTCTCAAAAACTTTCATGTTCAGCTGATGCAATCAACACTACAAAGGCAGAAAACAACATTAACCAATAATATTACAGCCTAACAAGTCTAACAATCCAATACAATCTGAACTAATAAGTCCTGCCCTCCATCATTATTTGTTTCATTTGGAAAAACACAGTTGTCTTGAAACACTTTCTCTAAGGCTGCCAGACATACACGTAGGCAGGGCGTCTTTTTAATCACTCCCTCTAATAATGCTGTTTGATTATTTGCGGTCGCACTGCCAAAAACTCTCTCAGTCTTGCTTTCTGGAAGCATTAGGTAATGCAGTGAGTTGGTCTAGTCCTGTTGTGACTCTGCCTCTAGGACTGCCGAGGGCAATGTGACCTCACACAATGGCTCCTCTGCTTCTCTGTTTGCTAAAACACACAGGCAAGTAGACACATAGACTGTCGAAAATATCATCTTACCGATCATGATCTGTTCAGATTAAGATTTACAATAGAAGGATCCTTAGATCTGACACTCACTGGTCTTTTAATTGTGAGAGCACAAAACAGACACAAGCTGACATTATCTCTGTTGCTGATAGAGTGTGAAACGAACCTGCGCAGAAGTCGACACAAACTCACACACAAACTGGTAGAGTTGATGTACTGTACATTGTGAGAGTGACATTAAAGAACTATTAAAGTGGACTGAAGACTTTTTCCCCCCTTTCTTTTCAGATGGTTAGCCAGGGAGAATAAACTAAACTGTTAATTCTGTCCATTTTTAAATAGATGCTGGCTCGTTGTGTGTATACTTTGCAGTACCTCGACTGGCCTGGTCCACATGCTGTAGATCCTCCACAAACTTCATTACTTCAGGGTATTTCTCCTCACAGATCTCTGCCAGGAAGTGAAGTAGAGTGGACTTCTGATCAGCCGATTTAGTGTCTTTCAGCTGGGAGCCGAAGAAAGATATAGATGCAGACAGACAGAAGAAAAAGTGGGTTGGGAGAGCAATTGTTTAATGTGATACCAACATTAAATCAGAACAGAAAAAAAAAAAATAATAAAAATATCCATCAAAAAGAAAAAAATATATATATTTAGATGTTCAGAACATTACATAAATAGAGAGAAATCAGAGAGAGAGATTCTTGAAGGAAGCCATCGGCGTCCACCGCCTTCACATCTGACAAGTTAATTTGATAGTACACTGAAATTGCCGCCGGACTAGAAAAGCAAGACATTTTCATTGTCAGTTATGATTATCATCGTGGCACAAGGATACAGGCCTTTATAGAAGTCAGTGCAAAAAGCATTTGATTAATGCGGAGCGCGCAAACAATATTAAGCTCTTCTGGGTGGTGGTGCCTGACGATTTAAGATGCTTGATTACCATTTGGGGGGGATGAGAGATATAGATAAAGTAAAAACGAAGTTCAAAATGAAAATGAGAGATGAAATTGGAGAAATCGACTTTCCATCTAGTCCATTTTAGTACTCAACACTATCTCGCACTCTGCCATTTATTTTAAATGTATGTGTTCTGACAGAGGCTTTGTGCTGGATATACACACTGGGTTCAACTGGATAATTGCAGTGTCAGAACATTTGGAAGCCGTGTGAAGCGTTAGACAGATGACGGAGGATGGAATTAGGTTTTGTTGCTCTGCCTGAAAGGGCTTCTCAAAAAAAAAAAAAAGAGAAGAAAAAACAAGGCCAGATTCTACAAATTGCTTGTGCTGATTTCATCTGTGAAGTATGAAAATGACAATACAAAAAGAAACCCAAAATATCTAATCTGATCCTGTGGTCCAAGTCATTGATGTCTGTGAAAAATCGTAAATATCGGTTCTCAATCGGAAAAGGTTTCTAGGAAAAATAATAAAAAATCAACAAAATTCATCGAGATTCTGACGTCCATGACATACTGAACCGTCCTCTGCTGATGAGCTCAAACAGTGACGCGCGAGTCACTTGCTCAAAGGGAAGCGCTTTCAAATCCTTTGACAACTAAATATGCTCAATAAACCCACTGTGAACCAAAGAAGAAGATACTGACAGGTTAAACTCAGAATAAAACAAATAAACAAACTATCAGATCAACAGAGGCAGAGAGAGAACATCAGGACAGGCCCTCAGGCGAGGAACTTGAAAGGCAGAAAACGACATACTTTCTTTGTTACTCCTGCCCATCAGGGACTCTATCACTATGTGCAGATGTAGAGATGTAGTTTTTCTCTCTCTCTGCAGTGAGGACAGATCACTCCATTAGTTCTGATGCATGAGGCCCTTAAGTGGGTATAAGGACACGTTCAAAGACGAGTGTTGATATGCAACATAAATGAGCTGAAGATTTCTATCTGTACAGTATATATTATCTATCACCAGTTACTGTACATATATGAACATACGCACATACAACCATTCAGAAGTTTGGGGTCAGTATGAATGTGTTCATGTATGCATGTATTTATTTCTGCAAGAATGCATTAAATTCGTTAGCAGCCATATCACCCTGCAGCCCAAGACTGGTTGCCCACTGAAGCTACTGAAAAGTAGGGTTGAGCCTGGTCAGTACCTGGATGGGAGACCTCCTGGGAAAACTAGGTTGCTGCTGGAAGAGGTGTTAGTGAGGCCAGCAGGGGGTGCTCACCCTGTGGTCTGTGTGGGTCCTAACGCCCCAGTGTAGTGATGGGGACACTATACTGACAAAAAGCACCGTCTTTCGGATGAGACGTTAAACCGAGGTCCTGACTCTCTGTGGTCATTAAAAATCCCAGGATGTCCTTCGAAAAAGAGTAGGGGTGTAACCCCGGCATCCTGGCCAAATTCGCCCATTGGCCTCTGACCATCATAGCCTCCTAACATCCCCATATCTGCTGATTGGCTTCATCACTCTGTCTCTGCTCCACCAATAAGCTGGTGTGTGGTGGGCGTTCTGGCGCAATATGGCTGCCGTTGCATCATCCAGGTGGATGCTGCACACTGGTGGGGTGGTGGTTGAGGAGATTCCCCCTTTCTATGTAAAGCGCTTTGAGTGCCCAGAAAAGCGCTATATAAATGTAAGGAATTATTATTATTATTATTAAATTGATTAAAATAAGCAGCAAAGACTTTGTGGTTCAAATATTGCAAATATTGCAGAAAATCATAAAATATTAAGCATAATAAAACTAGTCTGTATGACTTGTGCTCCTTATTATACAATAGCTTTGTGTGAGGACCAGATTTTTTTCAGATCATCTTCACATGATATGTGGAAAAAATGTCAGAGAACATTCTTCAAGGGTTCTCCTTTTGTGTTTCACAGAAAACAGAAAGTAATTTGTGTTTGAAACAGCATGACGGTGGGAAAATAATGGCCGACATTTCATTTTTGGGTTATTCCTTTATAAAACGTCTGAATGTGACCATGTCCCATACAGTCTTCTGTCTTTTATCAGGTCTGCTAGGAGACTTGATGAGCATAAAGGCATTCATTATCCTGGAGAGATTCACAAATGCAGTGATGGCCATTCTTAACACCACACAGAAGGGAAAAATAGTGAAAGGAGTAATGAATAAAATGGATGTCTAATAAGAAAGAAAAGAGAGAGGTGGATCAACCCTGATAAAAAAAAGCAATGCCAAGTCACCATGGAAACCTTAATTAATCTGCATGGCTGCAGTGGTAATTAACTATACTCCCCTTCTGCCCTTTTCCACTCACCTAAATCTGAAAATTTTACCCAAACATTATCATTAGAGGGCTTTACCCGTGGGGGAAGACGACTGCTAAGGCGTTCTGGGTGTAACTTTGCAAAAGGATACAGACATAATTTATTAGTGTGACATTAACACACCTGACTAAACAGAATATAAAGACTGTCCTCTTACCGACAAGCATATGTATGTCTGCATTACGTCACTATGCCGAAACTTCTCTAAAAACAAAAGAAGAAGCCATAAAGTGGTTTTTGGTCTCTGCACTTTGATAGATGCCAGAAGATATGGCTATTGTGGTCTGGAGTGCTTGATAGTGTTAAATCAAATGAGATCTTCTCGAACGGCAGTCGTTTTTAGCGAAAGGCACTTTAGATGGGCCGGACGATAGGGGTCAAGGTAACGGGAAATGTGCGGGAGGGGAGTGAAGGACGCAGAAGCACTCATGCCTGATGGTGACTCAGCTTTTGCTCCTTCACAGACATTGGAGGAACATAAATTATCATCTTATCGGCTTATTCCCAAAAACAGAAAGCAAGAGGAGAACGTTTGATGAAAAATGCCCACGGGTGTGTTTCAAACATGGAGAAACCTGCTAAACAGATAAATAGAGGCTAATAATTCACAAAATGAGTAAATATGGATAGCAAATCACATGAATGACTTCAGGGCTGGTTTTGCTGGATGAAATGCTACACATTCTTATGGACTACACTTACTCGGTTTCTAGGAAACCAACCCAAAACAGCTTCTAGACCTCATGTATTTGATTCAGAAGTTTAAAAGCACTTGTTTTAGAATGATATAGAAATGCTTAGGCTAGCATACGGCAATGCTTTTATCCACAAACAGCTCCATTGAACACATCTGACCAAATTTCAATACATTTCGCAGACTTTGTAAATGTTTCCACAGACAAAATGTGGACAAAAAGTGTGCCGAATCTTAGATATAGGCTCTTTCTCTCTGTACTTACCTTGCAGAGCGAGCTGAGGTTAAAGCCAAAGGACTGGGCGTTCCGCGAGCCAGTGTTCATGAAGTTCCCCATGAGCAGAATGAGTTCCAGCAGCCTGCTGAAGGCTTTGCTCTTCTTCACCTCGTTGCAGGCTGCGTTCACTGCCATGATTTCCGGACGCAAGTTACTCACTTGTTCTTCAAACTGCAGCTTAAACAGGATGGAGTTCAGCCTGGGCCTCAGACGCTTCACGGTACTAATCTGGAAGAAGAGAAAATAAGCAGAAACATTGTTAAAGGGGTCATATGATGCGATTCAATTTTTCCTTTCTTTTTGGAGTGTTGCAAGCTCTTGGTGCATAAAGAAGGTCTGTAAAGTAGCAAAGACTAAAGTCTCAAATCCAAAGATATTCTTTAAAAAAAAAGTTACGAGTCAACCACGCCTACCTAAAACGGCTCATTCTAACACACCCCCACATGTCTACGTCACGATGTGGCAAGATTTGCATAACGCCACCCAAATGTTCATGCAAAGAACGAAGGCGTATTTATTCTCGCTGTAGTATTGTTGCTGCCGCCGCCATGTCGTGGAGACACTGTGTGTTTCGTTGTGAAAGCGAAACTACTTTGTTTAGCCTTCCAAAAGAGGACGATATCCGCTTTGTCATGCCTAGAGCTGATCTGTGCTGATCGCTGAGGAAATACATCAACTTCGCGGTGTGAATCGCAGGATCGGCTTTCACCGTGGACGAAGCGGAGTCCAGTCCGGGGTCGTCTCATGTGGTTGCCACAAGCCCACCGGCCGCTTTGGTTTTATGTTTACGCGGCTCGATACGCAACACATAAAAAGACAGTACAAGTCATTAGAATCAGTAATTACTGTATGTCCCCAATGGATGCAACAAATGCCTCGTTTGTAATGGGTTTTTATTGTTTTTGTATTGTCGCGCCGGGACACGGCATCACAGTATGTTAAGGGGCGTAACATTTCCGTCACACGCTTGAGGTTTTCGGCCAATCACAACGCACTGGATAGCTGGCCAATCAGCGTACACCTCGCTTTTCAGAACGATGAGCTTTGTAAAAATCGACACGTTTCAGAAAGGCGGGACATAGAGGAGAAACAATAATGTACATTATGTGGAAAAGAATGTGTTTTTTTTAACCTTAAACCGCATAAACACATTGCATTACACCAAATGCACAACAATGTTCTTTTTAGCAACGTCATATGACCCCTTTAAATTTAAATCGCTATGGAATAAAACCTAAGGACACTTGCAAACTAAATGGCAACAGTTCAATCTTATAATTCAATTCTGATAAAAATCAATATATTCATATTGAACCATATTAAATCAATGTAATGTAAAATATTTTTATTCCCCTGAAACTGCTCTTCCATTATGAGTGTATCTACGTGTATGTGTTTAATTTGAAGCATGCATATATGTGTGTTTGTGTTTGTAGTGTGCATTTAGTGGTTATGGAGAGGAGGGGGTTGAGCAGGACCCAATTTGCCCCTATAAAAGACAATTAGCGATCACAAATTAAGGGTGTAATTAAGATACTCAATACAGAGATATGATTAATATGTCTAGAGCTGTTTTCCATAATCAGATATCATCTCTTGTACATGCACGCACACTGCAATCAGTCTGTATCAGTGTGTATAAATAAACCCAGGGAGCATTTTATCCTTGAAGACAAGTGACAATGAACCAAAAGCACAACAACTCCAAACTGAAACGAAGTGACTGATGCAAAGAAAGGAGAAAATGAGAAGAAAAGGTAAAGAAAACAGGGCAAAGCCAAATGCCTAATTTATGTGTGTAAACATTCAGCAAACTTGTAGCACCCATCTTCTGTGCGTGTCAGGCAGCGCTAATCTGCAATGAAACAGACTCTGATTCAAAGCTCTCCTAGCAATAAATGTTTGAGGGAGCCCCCCTCAGCATATACAAGGAATTATTCACTAGAGCTTCTAAAAGACAGCAAAGTAAGAATTATCAGGGAGGTTCAGTGGTTCAGTGATGCTGGAAATCACATAATAGCTCCTGTATATGAAACAATTTAGGGACTTCATGACACCAGACACATGGTGCAATGAAAAAAGACCAACTGTATATTTTAACAAAGGCATAAAAAGATGCTTTCAATAATGAATTAATGATGAGAAGCTGGAAGTTTTGCAAACATGTTGTCTTGTAGAATCTGAACTGAAAGCTACCAAAAATAAATAAATAATAAAAATCACATAGGGCAGGACTTTATCTGGATTCATCAGAATTTGATTGGATCATGCTAATTATGATACTATTGGTAATGTTTTCCCCACCCACACAGCCTTGGATACAAAGTAACAAAGTGCAAAGTTGTTTCAAAGCAGAGAACATATTATATTGAGACGGAACATAACAACATGTTTTCTTCTTTAGAAAAACTGCACTGATGAATTGCATATAACAAGACCTGGGAAATAAAGAAAGTAAACAGTAAATAAATAGGGTAAATTTGACATTGTTGTCTAGACATTTCACTTTTCAATTAGAGTGGCGTCTTCATTAGTAATTATTCTCTTTGATCAGTGCTGGGAGCCTTTTCACCGCCTAGTTCAAAGTAACGCATTATTTCTGAACAAAGCAATGATGCATATGTGGGTGTTTTCCCCACTGTGGTCACATCTGGCCTTGTGGACTATTCTCCTTGTGGAGAATAAACTGTCTTTTACTTGTCAAGAGTGTCATTTAATTTGCCCACTAACAATGTCTATTTACTGTACATGCATCTCAGACAAAATGCCATTGCTTTTTTAAAACCATGCTTTTTTCACTGAACCAAAATGTGTCATTTCTCATTCCATCTCAAATGATATCATGTTTAATAGTATTTTGTCATGAATTTTTTATTTAATTTTTTTGATTGTTTCACAAAATACTGAAAAAATGATCCTCTATATAGGACTTTCATATTTGAAGACTCAAAACCTGTCGAGTACAAGAGTAGAACAATAAAATATATACATAAAAAGTATTTCAAACATAGGCAAAAATGAATAAATAATAATAATAATAAAATTATTTTTTTATATATCTTTTAGAATGTAATTTATTCCTGCAATGGCAAATCTGAATTTTCAGCACCCATTAGTCCAGTTTTTAGTACCAGAGAATCCTACAGAAATCATTTAATATGCTGATTTGTAACAGGTCTTTTTTTTCCCCTTTTCTTTTTAATACACATATTTATACATTTAGGTGTTGTGATATTAACCGTATGGATGCACATTACCCCTTACATGCATGTGTTGTTCATAAAAGTACATGAAACCAATTCAAATCCATCCACCCACAGGGAAAACAGCATGATACCAGCTAAACTTTACTGCAGAGTCCTCAAGGTAAGACATTCAAATCAACCTTTAAAGTCTAAATTCAAATGCACCTGCAGACGGGAGTGGAGGTAAGACTGTGGTGCCTGCCACTCAGCATGTGACAGTATTCAGAGGGGAACAACTTTTCAAGTGTTTCAAGTATTATTCTTTATCAGGAAGCTAAATCATCATTTCACACAACCACCCAGAGTGCCTGCCGATGCCGAACAACAAAAGAGTTTCAGTGTGTGTGTGTGTGTGTGTGTGTCCCAGTAGACCCTGAACACACTCGCTACGTCTCTAGCGTATATGGCCTGCTGGAAGACTCAATGGGGAACGGGACACACACACACCTGTTTTATCTTTCTGCCTCTATTGTCTGGCTGAGTTAGTATGCCTGATTTAAACTTTTTCTTTCTGTGCACCTTGAACTAAGACTTGGTAAAAGGGGGAGGGGGACTGTTGCTACGGCAACAGAAGATTTCTCTTCTCCAAGAGTTTTCCGGTAAAAGCTGTAATTCTTTACGTTCAGCTACACCTGACTAAAGCGAAACCGTTTATCAGGAGCTAAAAATATCGCATGCAGCCATTAAAAACATTTATTCAGAGAAACAAAGCAGATGGCTGAAGTATCCCATGCGCCACATGCACATGCTTACACACAATCACCTATATGATTTTAAGGTCCCAACAGTTGCATGCTATATTTTATGGTCCACTAAGCAGGCAGCAAACAAAGGGTTCAAAGTTCTGGCTCCAGAAAGGAACAAAGAGTACAAAACTGCTTGCAATGGCACTATGGGAGATTAAGAATTCCCTTTGAACTGGATAGTTCTCTGAACTGCAAATGCATCATTTCCTGCTGCCCACGCATGCATAAACCACAGTTCCATATGCCTCATTATATAATAAACACCCCAAACACAGTGACAGGCCACACTGTTGCATAAAACGATTCCTTTGTGCCTTTCACTTCCATTTCATTTCTCAAAAAAGCAAGACCCCTTTCTCTCATTCCAGCATCCCAGTTGTCTTAAAAAGTCAAGTGTAATGATCCTAAGACAATGGGGGCAAACAAACCTGTTATAAGCTTTGTGACCATATGCTTGCAAACACCAATAATTAATTTGTGAATCTCTAGCAGGGTCAGCTGCTGAACTGTGCCATTGGCGATTGAGTTGACTGATTGATCCATAGTTCAGAGGTGAGCAGCATGTACTTAAACTATGACAAATCCAAACAGGAGCAAAAGACACAGTAGTCTGACAACGTTTTAAAGCTAAACTTCACACATCTCGACAGAGAGTTGAGAAAAGCTCTGAAATTGATCTCACACATTCAGAGATGAGTTGTCAAAAACAATCAAATATGAGAAAAGCCTTCATTATCATCTCAAATGACAACTCTTGAACATATCATAACAGAAAAATTACTATTAAAATGCAACACTATCCCACAGTGATATCTAAAACAACACAGATGACTATAAAGCTGTTATGAGTATAAAATGTGTTCACAAAATATATTTCATATCAAGAGGTATCAAACTGATTTAAATTGATATTGGGGAACAATTTGGTAATCATAACCGGTAACACTTTGATAGCTTAAAGGCACAATATGTAATTTTCGCCGCTGGAGGGCACGTATTCAAAATAAACAAAGAAGCAAAGGCGTAGTTTGATGATGCTGTGACTTGAGTGTGGAATCATGGGAGTTCTCGTCTTCATCCCCACAGCTGATGCAATCCGATGGGACTTGGGCAGAAATCATGTTCATGGATGAGCTAATGATTTATTAATGTAGTAGAATGACGCAGGGTGAGGCTGAAAGCCGTCGAAGCGAAACGAGGCCGCTGAACGAGCGTGACACACGGCTCGAAAGCAGCAGAGCTTTTATTATGCCACAGTTGACCGCTTCCGCTCCTTCTGGTCGTGCATATGAGGGGAAAAAAAAGCAATGCTGTTTTATCATACTAGATACGTTTGAAAGTTCTGTTATAATGCTACTCTGTGCGGTCGTCGCCGGTCTATTAAAATGCACAACATATTAAAGCTTTGGTGTTTCCATATTAAATCGAAATCGAGAGGTTATGATGTCATTAGCAGGCAACACAAAGACACTATGGAAACGGTCTGTGTCACTAGTTAAAATTGCTTATTTCTCTGGATTTAAACATTCTTTGAAAAATTAGAGATAATGAAAGTACACAAGCCAGCAAAATATATAACACTGTTTTAGTGGTTTTTGGATATTTTAATAATAAAAAATAAAAAAAACATATTGTACATTTAATTAAGGGTTCAGCAATATCATATTTTCATGTTATGGCTGATCATTAGTGTTATTAAATGATTAGTGTCATTAAATTATTGTGAGTGTTAGATAATGACAGATGTAATTTAGATGAGATTAGCAAAATTAATTGACTCAAAATAAACATTTTCTATTTAAATCATAGTTTAGACTACAAAACCATAATATGGGCAAAATATAATTTTGTTTGCTTCGGTGCTAGAAATTCAGCCATGGAGGAAATACCGTTTTTTCCCTCCTATTTCAGTTCCAATGTGCTGTAGACAAGTTTAGTTTCCCCCAAAAAGTGTATACATTGGCACTTTTTAAAACATTACTCTGGCTCAACTAGAAAACAATGTGGTACAACAAGTTAAACTAACATTTTGTGAATATTAATTTATTATTTAAAACCTTATTCACATTCACTGAGGGCCTCAGCAAGAGCTGTTTTATTAACTACAGAGTAAACGGTTAAGACAGCTAGGTTAAAACTGTGTTAATGTAGCAGGTCTACCATATGCATTTTCCATTAGAGAATTACAGTAATTCTTTCTGTGTTTAGAGACACAATACACATCTTGGGTTGTACAATATGTAGTTGTTTTGTTTGTGTCTAGATGATATTGGTCTCAGTTTCTGTTTTCGGTTTAAGAGATTAAATCTTTTGTATAGGGACAAACAAAACATCGACCTGAGAAAAGTTTAAAGGGGTCATATGATGCGATTTCAAATTTTCCTTTCTCTTTGAAGTGTTACAAGCTCTTGGTGCATAAAGAAGATCTGTAAAGTAGCAAAGACTAAAGTCTCAAATCCAAAGAGATATTCTTTATAAAAGTTAAGAGGCAACCCCTCCTACCTAAAACAGCTTGTTCTAACACGCCCCCACATATCTACGTCACGATGTGGGAAGATTTGCATAACGCTGCCCAAATGTTCACACAAAGAAAGAAGGCTTAACTTTAATTATTGCTTTTGCCGCCGCCGCCATGTTGTGGAGTTGCTGTGTTTCGTTGTGAAAGCGAAACTACTTTGTTTGGTCTTCCAAAAGAGGGCTAGAAATCAGTGGTTAAGTTGTATTTACAACACTGTTCCAGAACAGTTTAACCCAAATATTCAGATGTGTGCTGCGCATTTTATGGAGGATGAGGACTGTTTCCTGAACCAGTAGCCTACAATGCGTCTGTGGCACAAAGGCTATAAAGTTGGGCAGTTCCAACTTTGCAAGGACAGTCTGGCGCTTCTAGCTCATAGCCTGTAAGTACGTTTTTTATATTTAAATAATTTGCTACTGATGATTCAAATGCGAGTTTTGAGGAGTGTAGAGTAGGCTTGTTGTTTGTCCGATCACAAATGCAGACATGGTTTTATGTTTACGTGGTGCGATACGCAACGCAAACGCTTAAAAAGACAGTATAAGTCATTATAATCAGTAATTGTGTCCCCACTGGATGCAACAAATGCCTCATTTGTAATGGGTTTTTTATTGGTTTTGTCTCGTCCTGTTGGGAGACGGCATCACAGTATGTTAAGGGGTGTAACATTTCCGTCACATGCTTGAGGCATTCGCCCAATCACAACGCACTGGATAGCTGGCGAATCAGAGCACACCTCACTTTTTTAGAACGATGAGCTTTGTAAAAATCTACGCGTTTCAGAAAGGCGGGCCAAAGAGGAGAAACAATAATGTACATTATATGGAAAATAGTGTTTTTTTTTTACCTTAAACCGCATAAACACATTGCATTACACCAAATAACGTTCTTTTTAGCGACGTCATATGACCCCTTTCAATAAAAAAATTACAGATGACTTCTAACTGGACATGTCACTAGACTGAAGAGTAAATTCATATGAAAACCATTTAGAATTGAGAAGAGTGTGTGTGTGTGTATGGAATTACCACTACTCCAAACTGCTCTGGTTCAGAGAGGTTGGCAAATTCGCTCTTGTACTTGACCAGTGCGTTCAGCTGCTCCTGTTCAGGCAGGTACTTCACAAGATTCTGGAGGGGAAAACAAGACAAAGAACTTGTGTTACAAAGAATGTGTGCTACATTCGTTCAATTAACAGTTCAACTTTAACCTGCAATCTAATTGTTGCTGGTTTAGTTCTAGTGTCTAGCCATTTAGAGGAGCTCCTCATCTAAATCGACTCTCTGGCAATTAAGGACACACTAGACTAATTGAAGGTACGATATATCTCCCTGGAGAATTCTGAGGTTAAGCATCTTGCTCAAGGCCAAAACGGCACTTGAGCAGACCTGTGATCTCAGTAACCCTCCAGTTCATGAGTTGGCCCAGGCTGGAAATGAACCTACAACCTGCTCATTACCAGGTCAAATACTAAAAACTAATACTTTAATACTCTAATACTTTATTGTGATACATACCCTTTATTTTATTTTAAATTATTTTGTATTTTATTAAAAATAATGATGGACTCCAAACACGTTTGATATTTTCAGCCTATTTTAGAAAATGTATTGTTTTCATTTGCTGCTCATCTCCTAGGAACGAGGCATTTCTGTGTTAGTTTGTTGTGTTCAGAATGACTTGGACTTTTGATAGTGAGTGATCCTCACTAGTTTTAGTGTTCGATGGCCAGTTTTTCCTCTGTAACTATTTAGAGAGTCGCAAGTGTATGATGCGTAGTGGTTTAAAATCTGCTCAGGTTTAAAAGGTTGTGTAGTGTATTCCAACCTTTACACAGATTTTGGCCAAATTCTAGAGTTATAGAACTTACACCCAAGAGTTCTCATTGGAAGTCCACTGATTTTTCATTGCACATATCAAAAAAAGTTGGTAATGAGTTGAAAGGAATTCACACCATTAGGCTCACACAGCTTCATCATAATATGTGGTTTCATCTCAAAGCATTGGTAGGGCTATGACGTTTCGTTATCCATTTCAGAATCACTTTTCACCAATCAGCTGCTTTCAATCTCCATTGCCTATCTTATAAAAAGCAAATGCTAAAAAAAAATACATAAAATAAATGTTTTAGCAGCAATTTAATCATTTTTATACATGCACTCATGTGAACATGTCTATCCACATCGTGTGTTCTCTCAACCTCTCGTGTACCCATGTCACCCTCCATGAGATCATTAAATCATAGATATATATAGATCTCCAGCAATTCTCATTTATTAACATATTGCGATCTTGTTATTTTTTGAATCCGTAACTCATAAGTATTGGCATAAAGTACTACAATATAAATGCACTTTTAATTAACTGCTTGTCTGTGGGGGTTCAGGAGGGGGAGTCAGGAAGCACCTCTCTCTTACTACAAAAGGAAAAACTTTGAAGCTTCATATAGCCATATATGAACTGGTTTAGTTTATCTCCAAATGGCCACTTCATTAGTGCACATGAACATGAGCCAAATAGATGGATGGCCAATTTTGTCTATGTCAACTCCAAAATGAAATATATAGTATAGATGCAGATGGCTATTTCTGTTGTTCCCATCGCAGTCATTAAGATAAATATGAGGCTGCTTTTAAGTGGTAAGCAGTATAAAATAACAAAGCCCTGTTATGGATCTGAAGTAGTGGATATTTTAAAACTATAATAGTGAATGAGAACCTGCTGTGCACTGAGCTACTGAAGAATACATAAAGCTGAGCCTCACATCACTGCTGAATGATAAAAAGCAGGGGGAAATCAAAGAGAGGGATAATGTTTAATGTATTTATAAAACAAAAATGAAATATATGCATTTAAACCATGCAACAGTAGAAAAGTGTCATGCAGAAGATTCTGCTATGCCGCTGTTCAGTATTTTCTGTGATGTGCTTGATGGCAATCCAAAACCATGAGAAACAATAGTGTATAGTGACGCAGTCATATGATTCTAGCGTAGACCATCTCTTTATTATAATTTATTTCATTTATAATTAATGCATTTAACAGACACTTTTAACCAAAGCGACTTACAGTGCATTCAGGCTATACATTTTTTACCAGTATGTGTGTTCCCTGGGAATTGAACCCACAACCTTTTGCACTGCTAATGCAATGCTCTACCACTGAGCCACAGGAACACATTATTATTATAACAGCAGAAAATTTGTTCTGATGTGCATATGCATGAGACATGTTTGTAAAGCTGTTCATAATTACCAAGTATCAGTTATACAAGCACCCTATAACATAGATGTGGAAACGGTCTACTGTGCTGCTGAAAAATGTACCCTGAATTGCTCACATTTGTGGCTGTCCTCTCTGAACATGGGCATGCTTGAAAGGTCATGAATGGTGATGAGAGGAATGTTACCTGGATCATGGGCTCAGTCAGCTGATCCTCGTCCACCTCTAAAATCATTCTCCTGATCTCCTCATAGGGCATACGGAACGACCCCAGGAAAATGGCTAAGGTAGCGAGAGAGGCAGAATTTACATCAAAAACTCCCTGCAGTAATTCATCAACAGGCCACACACACTCTTTGTCTTGTGTGCATGTGTGTATGTCCACTGCATGGTGATAATATCTGATAAAAAGAAAGAATGAGCTTGACATCGTCTGCATTTGAATCTCACTTCAACTAGTCGAGACGAGGGCCAGATGAGGCAGTATCAAGATAACATTCATATATCAAGACAACAGGGTTTTCACCTCTGCCTGCATTTGTCACAAATACTCACAGTTCCTGAGCTAAAATCCGATTTCAGAAGAATGGCAATAAAGGGAAGGTGAGAGAAGGAGTAAGTGAATGACAGAAGGGTGAAAAAGGGTGAGGGACAGTGATCCGACTGGTGGGGTGTTCAGCTGGGACAGGAACATTTCATTTCTCCCTTTCCCTTTTATTACAGAACTTTGTTTATTGCCACAGAGACACTCGGACAAATGAATTAGTGTGAATACATGCAAATGAAAAACAGCGAAAAAGTAAAGGGAGAAAAGCAGTTTAAATGTTTAAAAACAGATGCAAAGAGAAGTGTCTGTGAAAGATGGAAAGAGAGAGAGAAGACGTTGTATAACAGCACAAGACAGGTGTTATTGTGTATCTCAAGGTTCTGAGAAAGAAAAAGAAGGAAGGTCGCAAGGAAAAAAGGACACCTGAAAACTTGTTTTGATTCACATACCTTTCTGCACAGTCAGAACAGTAGGGAAATAAGTTTTTACTACTGTTTCCAAAACAACACGAAAATCATAAAAAAAAAAAAAAAAAAAAAATTAAGAGAAGACAAGTCTAAAAGCTTACTATTAATTTCTGCTCATCTGCACTATGTTTGTCATTGTTGGTCTATGCACATGCTATACTTTTTAAAAAAATGTGTGCTATTGCATCTAGCTCTATTTTGTCTGTGTCTTTTGCTATGACGGTTTTTGAGACAGAAGCTCATGTTTGTTGCCCCCCTTTACCCTAGCGAATGTATAAATTGATTAAAAATGATTAAAAAACAGCAAAATAAACAAAACAAAAATTTGATTATTAAACGAAACAAAATTAAACAAAACCAAACTAAACCAAAACAAAAATCAAAGCAATCCCAACCTAAAACAAAACAAAACAAAAAACAACCCAACTTAAAACAAAACAAAACCAAACAAAACCAAAACAAAACAAACCAAACAAAAAAACAAAGACTACTGGATAATACTCACAGAGGTTTTGTGCTATCTTCGGGTCCAGCACCTTCAGTTCTTTGACTCTCTTTTTGATTTTCTTCTCCTCCAGTTCCTCCTCTTCTCGTCGAGCTGAAAATCATCATCAACACAATTTATTACCACACCCAAGTACATGTATGCAGAAAATAAAAAATACCAGCGTGAACAAGCAGATTCACACACAGACAGTCACAAAACTGACACAGAGCTTGAAGCATACTAATGGGCTACAACAGTAGGAACACATCAGTCCGTGCTTAATTTTTCACCATTACTGTCAATCACATGTGGGAAAGAAACTAGCATTTCATCTTAAACACCACTGAACAGAAAACACTGAATAATTAAAGAGCAAAGTCTTAAGGAAAATGCATTTAATGAGGACCCGTGGGGTTCTGTGATATGTTGACCTCTCGGGGTCAGATGATGAGCAGGATGGCATTGTGAAAACATGTTATGTTGACGAGACAGGAGGAGGAGAGTGATGTAACGTGTGCTGAATGGAAAATTGCACACTTTCAAACACCCATAATGCTCAAGAAATGCTTTGATTTGAACATGTTCATGATAGCCAAAAACAATGTGTAGCTTAAATGTAAACTTTTCTATTGTAGCGACTCAGCTCACAACAGCAAATATGAATAATTAACCATAACTAGTTATAATTAATTATTCATATTTTAGATCCGCTGTAGATATTTAGTTGACCTCTCAGGGTCAACTGTCTTGTCAATTCTAAGAACGTTAATTTCCTGGTTAAGGGAAATAACTTCTTACTGTACAATTCTACAAAGCTTGTAGCATAAATCTGCATGATTAGTGACTCCGGTTATGAGCAAACAATGAACACGTCAAGTGTGATACAAGTAAGGTTTTATTAACTACATAAACACTTAAACTAGTCCAACATACTACATAAACACAAACTGGTCTAACATCCTACATAAACACATAAACTGGTCTAACATACACATACAGTTGGTATAGGAAAGGGTTAAAGTTGAACTCAGTAATTATCGTAAGCATGAATAAAATAGTCTATAATACAACAGATTAATACAAAACAGCAATAATATACACAATGGCCTGAAGAATATGTGTGTTCATTCAAAGAAAGGTTTTCCTATGAATTAATTAGTAGAAAAGTCCATTCCTTGTGGATTTTCCTTATGGGGACAATGAGTGGGTTATCCCACTCACATTCCTGGGGGGGTCATAAAACCAGTGATATCATGATTAGTTGTCATGGTGACCAGAGGGCCTGGTGTTCAGCAGAAATCCTGGCATCCAGTTTATTGAGTGAGGGGACTGTGACGATTTGTTAATCTAATGAATAATTGATTTGTTAAATCAAATTAAAATTAGTGTGTCAGATTGGTCGAGACGCTACACTATGATGCCCAAAAACGCTGTATAAGTACGTAGATTCGATTCGAACATGTCTATGGTGCCCCAAAACACTTTCTAGGTAGGTAGCTTCAACTGAGCTCATCTATGACACCCAAAACCGCTTTCTAGGTAGGTAGCTTCAATTTAAATTCGCCTATGATGCCCAAAAACAGTAAGTAGGTCAAATTAATTTGAACTTGATTTTGATGTCCAAAACTTCTGTCCAGGTAGGTAGTTTCAATTTGAACATGTCCAAAAATACTGTCTAGGTAGCTCATTAGGTTTTGAGGCAGAGCCAATGAGTGTGTAATGGTCATGCTGAGAGAGTAAGGGGATTGGTCTTTGGCAAGACAGCTGTGAAGAATGAGATTAGAGCCACACAGCTGTGATGAATGCAGTAAATGGGGTCACACTCAAACACACTCGCATACACACTGTATGCATTTAGCTTGCTATGCATGGAGATTTTAGGAAGGGAGCTAAATATTTTGATATCTTTCTCTGTCTTCCGTGTGGCTTTTAAAACAAATAAAACTTAGGAGGCAACGCAGAGGTCATTGACTTAACAGGTTAAACAGCTCCTTCTTCAGATCTCAGAAGAGAGATAGTGAGTGATGAATAAAAAAGAGAAAAGAGATGAGGAGAGGAGCAGATAGAAAGCAAGGGGTTTCAATACAAGTTTAATTATTTAAGACACCAGATTAAGAGAAGTAAACGCAGGTCTCCGGAGAGAAGTGCATAATTGTCTTGTGCACTAATTAACACGGCTGTCTGGATACCAACTTGAAAAACACAGGAGCGGGGTTAATCTACAGGAAAAGAGCCCTATTCACACAAACAGCTAACCCAGATGCATAGCTAAACCACAACAGCATGAGCATTTTACATTCACACATAGAGATGACAGTGACTACAAAAGAAAGTCAAAGTGACTAGACAACACCATTCAAGCTCCACAGGTTATTCAGCCACTAGCTATGTTCCAATCTGGTGATCTGCCTACCTACACTGCATTGCAAAGCACTATAGGCACACCGGCGCCAGGCCAAAAGTGACACCTTTTGGTCAATCTAAGGCAACAGTACATACTAGCAGAAAAGGCAATTCCAGAATGTTCAGAAAGTTAGATTTTTGAAAGAATATAATATTTAATTAATTTTTTTGAGCGAGGGTTGGGGGAGTGTCTTATGCTCACCAAGAGTAGTTGTTGGCTCAAAATATTACCATTTTCCAATTTGATATATTTTAAAATGCAATTTATTCCTGTGATGGAAAAGCTGAATTTTCAGCAGCCATTACTGCAGTTTTCAGTGCCACATGATCCGTCAGAAATCATTCTAATATGCTGAATTGATACTCAAGAAACATTTCACATTATCATCATCAATAATTCTGCTTTTATGGAAACTGTGATTTTTATTTATTATCAGCATTTATTTGTTCTTTTCTTAGTAAAATTTAAAATATCTTTACTGACACTTTTATTTAATTTAATATTTTCTTACTGAACAATAGTTGTAATTTGTTTAAAAAAAAAACCATAACGACCCCAAACATTTGAACAGCATTTTCAATTGGTAAAATGTATTCAATTTTAGTTAGGATGCCATCTTAGAAGGCATTTTTCTATGTAGGGAAGTAGACAGCAAGGCAGCTCACTAGGTTTCAAAGCCCTATTGAGTACTGAGTATTGTCTCTGGTTGTTTTTCTTTTTCATAAATACCCAATGGATGAAATCAGCATGGGGAAGGGGCCACATGCAGGAAAAACCCACTCTCCATACATCCACACACTTACTGTACTTGAGTGGCTCTTCCACAGGTTCACTCTCCTCAGACACTTTAGTGAGCAGAGAAAGGATGGAGAAGATAGAAAACAGAACAAGAATGCAAATAACAGAATCAGAGACAGCAGCCAACAGAAAAAGACAGTGAGAGCCAAAAAAACAAAAGAAAATGAGACCGAAACAGAAAAAAATTAGCCTGAAGACCAAGAGAAAGTAGAGACGTGATTTCTCATTAAATTCCACAATTAATTGTTAATTATGCTAAAACTCTGGAGCAGACAAATTTGATTTGGCGAATATTGGGATGGCTAAAACTTGAGAAAGTAAAACCCTAAAGAACTAATTGTAATCAGTTGGCAAGAGGGAGGAAGATCATTAAAGATTCATGTTCTCTATGTAATTGGAACAAATTGGCTGATTTATCCTGTATATCACATGCAGATCTCTAAGACCAGTTCAAACACTGACAGATATAGCACATGAAATGCATGACAGCATGTGCTTTTCCGATCATTTCAGGCCTGTGATGTACAGATATAGGGCACTCAGTGAATGTGAACTCTAAAAACACAAGAGTCCGTGAACAGCTGGAATATCGATCTGAGCACGGCCCTCTCACCACCCCTCCATCTAGTCATTCCATTCATATCACCCCTCTTCTACAGGAATAGAAGAAAGCAACTGTGTGTGGGATAAAGATATGCAGTATTGATCTGTTCATCATGATTAACAGCCGTGCCATCAAAACTATGTCCATTCATTACACACACACAGCACATACACACTAAACACGTATGCAAGTCAGATGATGCATGATTCACGGTGCCGTCTCTCAGAAGCACACAAAACCAAAGCGTGTGTAATGGCCTTCACTGCTTGAGTGCATGGCTAACAAATTTATGATATTATGGCCTCTTTAAAGCATCCAAGGATTGTATTTTTCTTGCCTTTGAATGGGAAAGCATGTGGTAAAGAATTTATTTCTTAAAGGAATAGTTCAATAGATTCAACAACTAAATCTATTATCCACTGGCTTTTGAATTATTGCAGAAAACACCCTCTGTAACCAACAAAAGTGTATGATTATAGCATGTTTTGTTCATCAATATAATCTTCACAAATGAACGCATTGTATGAACAATGTATGGAAGTAAAAAGTGGAAGTTAAGCTATTCGCATGACAACAGCGTCACCACAACTAAGTTTTCTGACAACCCATTCTTTATTTGAAATCTACACATTTGAGTTAGAATAGTATAAACACAAAGAGGCTCTAAAAGCAGTCTAGTGAGTAGGTGTGTTATGCCTTTCGGTCGATTCTGTGTATCATCTGTGTTGTTCATAAATCTATAGATTCAGCTACACCTATACTGAACTATACTGTATATCGCCTCACTTACAAGCACAGCTGATTAATATTAAACAGACAAATACATTTTGATGTAGACAAAGAACAGGGCTTTAAAGGTCTTTCAGACAGGTAATTTTTCACATGCTATGTACTACACTGACACCATATTAAAGGGCACATTAAAGGCCAAGCAAAAGTCACTAAACATCCTTAAAAGCTCTTTGAAAGAGCACTTGGATTTGCAGTTTGCCTGGTGAGCGAAGTTGCAGCAAGAATGCCAGTGTTGCAGATCTAAGCCAATTCTGTGATTCCTGCCACATAGTTGTAGTGAGAAGTCGTTAACCCCATCAATTAACATTTAGATCGCTAATGAAAGGGCAACTGACATGAAACGGTCTAACATGGTGTCTCCAAATGTCATGAAGACTGTATATATATATATATATCTAATGAAGCACTAGCAGTGATGCAGATGAGAGGGTCGATACCAAAGTATCTCGCATAGAAATAGAAGCTGTGTGCTATAAACTGAGCTGCTGATGAACTGATGAAATGTGAATTACT